ACTTACACTTCTGGATAACAGTGCTTGATCTTTCACTAGTGGCTATCTGGATATGATGCTTTTGTTATGAGTAAGAGATCTTCAAATTTTATAGATAGAGACAATTTTCATTGAAACTCGAGTTATGGAATCTATTATTTCATTTTTCTGGCTGGTTAAAGGTTCACATTTCTAAGCAAAAAACTTTATCTTTTTTTTTTTTTGGGGTCTTCTTTGTTTACATTCCGCACAAAATTTTAAGTCTTAGTCTTAAAAAGTTTTGCTTGAAGGGAATACTGTATATTCTGATATGAATCTAGCGTGCCTGACCTTTTAGGGAGATTCTATGCCTGCAATGCTCAAATGCCTATTCATAATTGTTTGGGATGGATCTTCTTAATAACTCTTGGATCTTTCAGTTCATATGTGCTTGTTTGTAGTTTACTATATAACGAGTAACACCATATATATCCAACAAAACAAAAATGCAGTGGAAAAATTGTGAATGTTGAAGTTGTGGATGGAGGTTTGATATGCTCAAGTGGGGTGCATGTGGAAGAAATGGGTGATAAGAACGATGATTGTTACATTGTGAATGCTGCTGTGTATGTGGGCTATTGACTTGTGACTTCTGAGTTCTGAATGAACAACTTTGTAAGGTAAGTTCCTGCATTGTGCATATTCTGATCCTCCATTTAACACCATCATATCTAAATCCACTATTGCAGTTTTAGTCTGCTCATCCTTTTTGATAATATGACAGGCTAACAGCAGTAGGATCTTTATGGAGGACCAAACGGGTTTCACCAAATTACCTTTTGAGAGAATCTCCGTGAGAGAGAGCAGTGTCTGTATCTGGTTGCTTCGGCAGGAAAATGAGATTTCAGTCTAGTGTAATAAGCTCTCGTTCATATGTTAAGATCATTGTTTCGCTCCTCCATCGCATGTGAACGTGCTTCTTTTGATAATGGATATATGTTATTATGATGAAATTCGAACTCTTCCAGTTTGATTATTCCAGTACCAATCATAGTTCTTTTATGTTCTTTTATGTTACGTTTCTGTTGGAAGCAAGTTTTCTGGAGGAGAAAAATAGTGCAAGGGTCCATACTGTAGTACCCTTCCAGACCATAATACGTTAATTAAATTTTCTTACAAATCAAATGTGTTTCAAATTGATAAAAATTACCCATTTTATCCTCATTATTTCCTCTGTCTCTTGCACTAAAAACCCTCTCTCCTCTTGATAATAAGGGTTGAAAGTGAAAAATTATCATCAATTACCCTGTAAACCTCTTATATTTTAGATCAAATTTTCTTCTAAAGAACTTCTTGTACTATCTTCAGTTTTTAATATAAGAGCTAGTTTGACTTTCAATTTGATCTTAATATGATATTTCAATTTATTTTATTTTTTATATTTATCTATTTTTTTTCAAAGTAATCGTTATAATAGTTGTCTATATTAAAGGTTCCATTAAATATAATACTAGTAAGTATTTTAGATATCTATTTATTACAAATAATTAACTTAAAATTTTTTTTTAATTTATTCAAATTAGTCACTCAACTCTTTTATTGATTACCATGGAGAGAGGGAGTAAGGGGATCAATTTTCTGACAAGATAACAGGCAATGGTCAAAGAGCACATGCTGTTGAAGAAGGCTGCACAGACACAAAAATTTGAAGATCATAGGCAAGTGGGTATAGATAATGGGCCTAATATAAAACAAGAGATGTCATACATCTGGTCTCATTACACAAGGCCGCCAGATGAGGCAATTGATAGCCCAATATGAAGAAAGTGTGACTATCCCTGCCGAAGGAGAGCGCAATCATGGCATTACCATTACTGGTGCGAAGAAGTAATTGATGAGAACAAATAAGATGCTGTAACATCAGCTTGCTTATAAGTAGGATAGGGACATCGTGGAAGTGACTTCCAATGTTTACTTTCAAGCTGAGCTTGCCATCCTGATTTTTCTTTTTTAGAAAAGTATGTGATAGGCAATGTAAGACATGTAAGTAGTTCTGTTAGCTTCTGGTAGTTTTGTTTTGTTAATATTATCGGACAATTTCACAATTTCATTCATGAATGGATACTCCTGATCTGTATCCAAGTTTCACGTCGACGTATACCATACATCTAGTACATTATTCACTTAAACATGAATATAATTAAAGTATTCTAAAAAAAAATTAAATTCTTATAATTTCACTGGTGACACACACATTGCTACCATTACAAATGCACAAGAAATTTTCCAAGCATTTGTGTTTGCCTTGAGCATAAAATCAATTTTAAACTTTTTATAAACAGAACAAAGACGACGAGACCCATTTGTCAGAAACCCAGATCTCTATCTCCCGTTCCAAATCTAATCCTTACGCTAAGAGCAAGACATGGCTCGCCAGAAAAAAGGACATTCGTGGTCACACAGTTTGTTGCCAGATCAGTCTAACGTGTCACTTAACTGCTAACTTGGCACACATGCGAGCAAACACGCAGGTTTCAGTTTTTGTTCAAAACGAATTGCTGAGAATGAGAGCCTCCAAACGACTCTGAATTTTGTGGTGTGATTGAAGGAGCTCGAAAGTGTATCAGCTCAAGATGGAAGCAGCACAAAGAGATGCCCCAATTCCAGAGATGAAGCTTCTGTTTGTAGAGATGGGTGTTGGATACGATCTTCACGGGTATTATTCTCTTTTCTTAATCCCCTTCGTAGCTTTTCCCTTTCAAAGATTAGTTTTTTAACTTATAAACGTTGAGATTACAGGCAGGACATAACTGCTGCAGCCATGAGAGCTTGCCGAGATGCCATTGCGTCCAATTCAATCCCAGCCTTCAGAAAAGGTGCTTCTTACCCTCTTTTACATGAACACATCATAAACTCTGTTCTGGGTGTGTGTGAACGAACAGAATAATAGTCATTTTTTGTCTGAACTTGTATAAAAGAAACTGGGTCTTTTTCTATTGATATGATCACTTTCATAATTATCCTGATTCAAACGAGGTTGTGGAAGTAGAAACAGCTCTAAGAATTAGGTGAATTTGGAATAGGTAGCATACCTGGTGTCACATCTGACCACATGAAACTGCCTGTCAAACTGGGTGTTCCTCTTCCTCTCCAACGACACTTGGATCAGGACAAAATCAAGACTGTGTTTCCATAGTGAGTATACTATCAAGCCATTGGTTTTCGAGTAGTCATGTTTAAAATAATACTCCTCCGGTCCTAATTATAAGACCCAATTGACTTATTTGAGGAGATTAAGGAAGTAAGTTAAGTTGGTTATTTATAATAAATAAGTGTTGTCATTCCTAAAATATCCTCGCTAATTAAGTATATTGGCTAAAACTATCATTATTAGAAGGATTATCTTGGAAAAAATGCATAAATATAAGAGACAAAATGGATTAGGGTCTTATAATTAGGACCAAATAAAAAGTCAAATGGAGTCTTATAATAAGGACCGGAGGAGTACTAGTATATTCTCAATTATATATATAAATATAGAGAATATTCAGTATGTGAGGATTAGTAACTGTTCAAATGGTGGTAACTACTACTCCTCCAATCCTTAATATAGGACCCAATTGTTGAGTTGGTTTTGATCCTAAATATAAGACCTATTTTTCATATTTATCAATTTTCTCTAAATTACCCCTATGGATACTCTCTCAACCATAATCAAGTAGAAGAGGAAGATGAGGTATTAAAAAAGATTATTATGGTATTTTAGGAAGAATGTGTACATTTCTTATAATTACTAACTTACTTACTTAATTTTTTTAATTTAATATCAAATTAGTTAAAGGGTTTATATTAAGGACCGGAGGAGTAATTAGCACGAGACAAAACGTTACTTTGTTGAAAAACCATTGCAGTGGAAAAATTGTGAGCTTTGAGTTGTGAATGGTGGACTTGTTGTATGCTCAACTGAAGAAATGGCCGACCCAAAACGATGAGTGTTACATAGTGAACGCTGCTGTGTATGTCGGCTACTAGATGCTCTACTGCCTCGAAACTGTGATCTTAATGGTATGTGGTTCTTTGGCCGTTTGATCTGTATGATCTATTAGTAATTGTTCGTCTTGTAGTTGGAGATTATATGTCATTTCAACAACCAAAAATAAAAGAAAGGTTCCGTTATTACTTAACCATATTTAACTATACAAGAGCATTTAAAAAGGTGGTTTAGGACTGTATCTGAGTTAGATGCAGCGTTTAAATCTCGTTTTACTTTTTCTTGCTTGGAGGAATCTTCTATGGCAGTCCTGTCTGCGGTTCTTTGTGAAGCAATTATGACAAGTGGTTTGTACTTAATGGGTGATTTTCCCTCTTGTTTTTGTTAGTTAATATACTTTGTTAACTTTGTTAAACTCCTTTCTGATTCTCATACCACCTTGCACTCGTACACCAATTATCCTTGCACATGTACACCAATTTTATGCTAAAGTAAAATTCATTGTTAATGAAGGATGGGGACAAAGAAAATTGAGTTCCTCACGGCAATGTATCAAAGTATTAAGACTTAATTCCAAACTTATTGTTATGAATAATTGTGTTCGCAATTGAAAACTACGGGGAAGAAACCAAAAGCAGGATTAAGAGAACTTTATCGTATAGACAATATAGAAGAACAATTAAAAGAAAATTAGGATGAACAACAATATATATACACAATATCAGGAACACTACCAAATATCTTTCAATTATTTCATATCATATATTTCACTTAGCTGACAAATCGGGGGACTCAAATGAACTGCCATCGAATAATATGAAACTAAATATCATTTTGTGATTCAGTAAAGATTAGTTTAGTTTATTCCCTTGGGAGAGCAGCTTGATCTCCATGACAGGCTTATTTTTGCTTGTTTTCCTTTCTTTCTTTTCTCCCTTTTGAACCATCAATTTTGTGGTTCAAGAAGCCTATAATTGTAAAATGTATCTCACCTCTTATCTACCCACCAACTAATGAGGAAGCTTCTCTATCTTTCACGAAATCATGAGCAAGTGAACACACATAGAAACCTAGAGATTATGAAGGAAGAATCAAATTGGTGATGGATCTCACATACTGAGAGCTGCGTAGAGGAGCTGATTCCAGGTATCAGGTAGACCAGGTAGGTAGACACCAATGGCTACAGTCATTGCCTGCGTGGTCCCCACTATAGAGAGAAGGGTGGGCATCTTTTCTAAGTTGTGAGAGGAGTGTTATGTCAAGTAGATAAACAGGATATTTCATCTTCTTCAACACATTGTTCACTACAGAAGCTGAAGGAGGCAGACCTGCAGGGTAGGATGAACCAGATAATGGTTCTAGTTCTCCACTACAGCTCCTTGCTGGTTGATTCCACTCTTTGCCTCTGTAGTGAATCACGAGGAAAGTCTCAGAAGTTCCCATCTGAATATAAGCAAACTAAAAATCTAAAAAGGGAGATTTGACCTTTTTCATATGCATGAGATTTACTTACTGATAATGCGTAGGAGAAAATGCCCTGAAAGAAGACTTTGGTCTTGGTGGGATCAACATTACGATCAACCCAATTAGCCCAAGTAGTTAGTCCCCTATTAAATGCTTCTAAACGATTCATATCCTGTACCAGTCTGGGACCGTCTCTTATGTAATCCCATCTGGATGTACCAAACATCAACAAACCATCAGATTTCACTAAGAAACATAGAAGACTTCGAATGAATGAGCTGATACAAAAAGATTAAACTTGATAAAGCAGCATAACCAGAAAAGCCCATGTACTAATGATGAATTTTTCTTGCTTAGATTCAGTCCATTAGGCCATTCTTGGATGGAATTCACATTTAGAAGCTTGAACATACCCTTGAGATTGTCCTTTGTGGGTCCACCAATGCCAGGAGTTGAAGATCAACATGTCCATGTCTTTCCATGCGTTTCCAGCTTCTATGGAGTTCAAGTCAAGCACTCGGCCCACGTTTTCTCGAACTATGTCCACCAAATATGGTGTGCGGTATAGGTGTAAAGTTACTCCATAGTCCTGCACAAGTTCACCGACTACCATAATCTCCACCGTCCTTTTTGGATGTTTGAGATTAACTTAATATTTAAGGCAAAGGCAAAAAACAAGCGGGGGGCAATGAATGCAAAAACTACTCGGATTCAGCGAATTGATTCTTCAAAAGGAATAAACGGTGTACTTGTAAAAACAAACAAGCAGCTCACGTGGAAAATAGTAGTAATCAACCTACCAAACACGCTCTGTCATGGCCACTATTTAAAAAAAAAACATGGTCCCTCCCACCATTCTTTTTCAACTTTTTATCAGCGGCCGGTAATGTTGAATTCCATGGTTTCATTCAAAGAAAAAAGCTCAAATTAATTGGCAAAAGGTAAGATCAATTAAACTACTATAAATTTGGGCATTTTGGGTGAAATCTCGTGAATGACTGTCTGAATGGAAGTCGCAGGAAGGCTTGTTGTCATAGCATGACTAATTTGGAATCTTCAAATGATTTATTTAGGTATATGTAAATCTTATCTGGGTTTGTAAAATAATAATGCATATTGCGCTGCTTCAAATGCTAGAAAAGATACTAACACTTATAAACTATGGACTGCAGAGTACAGAGTCACGTTCTTGGTTCATTAGATTAGAGTTAAACGGAAGGAAGCAAATAATTGCAGAGAGCCGCCAACTAATAATCATAGGTTGGCAAGTTTGCCTCACAGCCTGTCAAGTGGCATTAATAACACACTATGTCTTCAAGATCTAAAAGCACACAGTTATACAAGTCAACATTTAAACTGATTCCTCTTTAATAATTTGGTTTTAGGACTTCGTTCCTTACAAGCAAATCAAATTGGTAGGAGGTCTTTCCTGTTTCTTCCCTCTTTTAGGTGGATGCTTTAGTATATTCATTGTTCCTCTTTTGATTGCCCCTGGCCCAGCAAGAGGATTCTGATCCTATTCAAAGCTCTATTATTTAGAAAGCTAAAGGTCTGCTTTTATTGTAATTTACTCCATCGCCAATCAAGTGCTCCTGCCGCGTCAATTGCTTCTAATGAAACTCTTAAATTTTTCTATCTATCAGTTTTAATGAATGCGGTAGGAGGAAAGTGAATGAACAATGGGAACTGGAAAGCACCAATAAAGAGCAAGAACCACAAATGAGAAAAGGCAGAGAGAGAGAGAGAGAGAGAGAGAGAGAGAGAAACGTAAAAAGAAGAAAGATGGAAAGACAGGCGTGGAACTCTGAAAGCACACTGAACAGTAACACTTGTGCAGTAATGCTGACAAAGCAACCGAGGGAAGGAGAGTGGAAACAAAATTAGCAAACCTGGAAGATCACAGTAGATAGTGATTCTTTCCTCAAAAAGGTGGTCTTGGTATTGGGCACCGACGCGTGAATCATACAGGCCATTGATTCCCACATGTTCAGACTGAGGGAGTCACCAATAAACATTATCTTCTTCCCGCTCCACCTGTTCAGGAGATCCTTCCCGTCGAACCTGACACCATTAAAGAATGCAGATTCATTAAAAGCCACCTTCAGAGCCAGTTTTCAAGAGTTAATAGCATTAACCATTTTATCAAACAGTTTCAAAACCATTCTGTTTAGAGGCAACTTTTAGCTTGACAAACTACATCTCAACATGTAATCTGGGAACAAAGAAAAGAATGTTAGAAAATTTTGAGCCATTAATGGGTAGTGTACCTGGGCATGGCACACGAATCAGGCTTCCAGGAATATTTGAGATACTGATTGTCAGGTCTCCCGTACTTTTGGCAATCAAACTCAGCATCTATGAAGGGACAGCTTGAAGAGTCATAGAACGGATATGAAGGGTCAGTCACCCAGCTTCCTATGAACAAGTTACACCCACTTGCTTGCTTTCTCCCCCTCAATGAGCTACTCGCATTGAAAAACTTTGCTGCTCTTGCTTGGTGAAGAGTCACAAGCAGAGCTTGTAAGAAAAGAGAGAGAGAGCAGAAACAGAGAATGAACCCTGAAAATGAAACCCATTGGGAAACTTGGGTCGCAGAAACAAACAGATTAAATGGCCTGTGAATAACAGCTTGTACGCTTATGGGTCATTTATAGATGCAGGAGGCAGGAAATGCAGGACAAGTTGTACTGCATAGTGGTGGGTTCACATGGTGGGTACTAGAGGACGCTGATTTTTATTTTCTGACATAAGTTATAGGGCGTCTTGGCTCTTGCTTCCTTGGATGCATTCGCAAGCGCCATACGTAGTATTAACTGTGGGGGGTTAACAATGAACGGCTTGTTTTATTGGGAAAGTCAATGTTACAGCAATGTAAGGGAATTGAAAAATGATAATTGAGGTTTAGCATAGTTCGAGTTTTGAGAATATAGCCGTGTTAAATATTTTGGGGAAGAACTTTACCATCTTGTTATGTCCTGTTCAGTTCGGTCCGGAGTAACACGAGCTCAGTCGAAAGTGAGGCAGGGCCGGGCGGTTTGAGTTTTGGGGGACGGAAGTTTAAAGTTTTAAAAGGTTAATTTAATGACAATTAGATTTCTTTGTAAAAAAAAAAAACACAATTAGATCTTCAAAAGAAAAAAAATCAGTTGCAAGTATAATTTAAACAGTTGCACACACGAATTATTGTAGTTGAAACTTAATGATTCCCTTTAAATTTTTTTCTATATAAGATATGAATAATTGAATTGCGTGTATATAAAAAATTGATTAAAATTGTTAAAGATAATAAATATGTAAAAAAAATGTAACTTATTTTAAAGTATATGATTAGACTCATTTAAAAAAGGATTAAGATGCAAATTTGCTCAGTCAGTTTTCATTAAGGAGTTTTGGATATTTAGAAGTTTTTTTAGAAACAAATTTACTTCGAAAGTTTAAAATTACAGCAACATTACCTTTTACTATTAGAAAACTAATATTGATTATCACAATAGTAACATTGACCGTTAATATCTTTAATGATATAGGACAATATTGCTACGACTTCAAATTTTTGAAGTAAATTTGCTCTAAAAAAATTATAACTTATATATATATATAATATATATATATATATGAGAAGAAGGGAGTAGCAACTGAGAATCCTAAATTTACGAGTATTTAAATCTGAATTCATAAAATATTTTTACAAATTACCGCAAACCTAACTATTATTATTAAATTCACCTAGGGACTTAATTGTTTATTCTCCCATGACTTTTTTCACTTCCCTGCAAAAATAAAGACCATGAGTTTGCTGGCTTTCCGCTGGCTTCCAAGTCACGGGGTGAAATTGTTGTGTGTGATATGTCTCATATGCATGATTGAGGCTCCCCGTGTCTGCAAGTCAAACTCTGAATTATTTATACTCCTCCTTGTGCCTAAGGTATTACTCCTCCGATCCTTATTATAAGACCCAATTTGACTTTTTATTTGGTCCTAATTATAAGACCCAATCCATTTTGTCTCTTATATTTATGCATTTTTTCCAAGATAATCCTTCTAATAATGATAGTTTTAGCCAATATACTTAATTAGCAAGGATATTTTAGGAATGACAACACTTATTTATTATAAATAACCAATTTAACTTACTTCCTTAATCTCCTCAAATAAGTCAATGGGTCTTAGGACCGGAGGAGTATTACACTTATCTACCAAATTGCCTCCATTAATATTATACGACAAATAAATTACCACTAATCTGTGCATGCAAACAGATTGGATGGATCTGATGGTGTAAGGGTTTTAAAGTTTTATATTTAGGTCAAGTGTGTCACCTTTTGAACCTCAGTCTACTTCTGCCTATATTTATCATGTGACATTTCAAGCAACTACGCACGTATAAGACCAGGAAAAATTGTTACATGAGTTTATTCGATCATGACTTAAGGTTAATTCAATACTATAAAATATTTTTCTGATGTGAACCAACACCTTAGAATATTCTTATTTACCCAGCATCCTGAAATTAATTCATTTAGTATCTTAAAATATTTTTTTAAGTACATCAAGCGTTTTAAAAAATATAGAAAAATATTTCGCGTGCTTAATGCATGTTGGCTTCACACTTTTGAGAAGTTAACGATGAGGTTAAATCTTTTAAGGAAAAAATTGCTCAAAAGAAACTAATATTTTAAGGGCAAAATAAGAACAGGGCTTTAATTAAAATTTATAACAAATCTAACTCTCCTCACCGCTATTGTTTTTTCCCCGCAAGCAGCGTCGCCACCAAGTTGATATGTGTGTGTGTATATATAATAATAATAATAAGAAGAAGAAGAAGAAGAGAACTCATAATTCATGCAACTTAGCTTGATATGTTCACATATGACAGCTCTCTCTCTAAGAAAATGAAAAATGAAAGGAACTGCACTTTTCTACTGGCTTCAGTTCACCGGCATGCATGAGTTGTTATCAGAATATGAATTTATTTCTTATCTCTGAGAGACAATTATCTGTGCATGGCACCGCTCACTGATTTGAAGCATCATATATCGCAGTGCTTTGGATTTCCTCTTATATTATTGGCCTCTCTTGTTGCCACGAAGTTTCTCTTCTCTCTCTCAACATTATCATTCATCTCATCACTGTGGGAAGGGATTTTAATTTAAATATTAAATCTCAATTCA